AAGAGACCGGGGTTGGTAGGTGGTGTGGCGGTTAGGGCTGCTGGACTCCCACATGGCCGACTGCGGTTCAAGTCCTGGACCCAGCAGCTCGACTAACGTTTGAGTCCCGGACTTGGCGGCTTACTTTCTCTCGTTCCCTCTCTCTCTCTCACTCTGTCCCTCTCTGGTCAAATGAAAATAAATAAAGTTAAATAAGATAGTTATTTAAAAAAAAAAAAAAGGGAAAGAAAGAAAGTACAAACCTTTAAAAAAAAAAAAAAAAGAAAAGGATCAAAGGGACATAGGCCAGCAGGTAGCATGGTCATTAAGGTGCTGGACTCCCATATGACCAACCATGGTTCAGGTCACAGACCTGGTGGCTTGAAAGGCACGCCAGGCACATATGCACGTGTGCCCAAAATTCTGAGAGGAGAATGAAGGAGAAGGGGTTGTGATACGGCCATCGCACCCCCCAGGGGGGATGATATCTCACTTTCCCTTTCTCTGTCTCTCTTAGTCTCTCTGTCTCTCGCCAGCATGCGCGCTCACCCTATGGCAAAAACCTAAAAAAAAAAAAAAGTAAAAAAGAATGAAAAACTCTACAAATCCAGACAACAGCAAGATGACATTTTCGGCTTGTCAGATGGGCAAAACTGGGGTTTTCTTCAAAGGTGCAGTAGAAGGCGTGGCGTGGCAAGGTGTGCCGCCGCTTTTTACCCGCCGTGAGGGTCTCACCGACATGGACATGCCACGACAAAGGGCGTCAGCAAGAGAAAAGCGTGATCCGCGTTCTAACCGATGTTTTACGTGGCACAGGAGCCTTCAGAAACGCCATCCGAAGGCCCTCCAAAGGCCCGGGGAAACGTCTGTTTTGGTGCTTAGATTCCGTGAGGCCTGGCCTAGGGTAGGAATGTGACTAGACACAGGGTCCCACCCGACGGGAGCAGACTCGTTCCAGCAACGCCTGTCCGTCCAGATTCTCCTGTCTGGGCAGGCTCTCTCTGGGGTGGGGCAGGACCCCTCTGGAAGGACGGTGTTCCGGAGAAGGGGAGGGATGCGCGAGAGCAACCCTTCTGGGTGTTTTGCTTCTCGTTTCTTCCCGCCTTGGTGAAGAGGAATTCTGGTTCCCATGACTGCGGGGAGGACGGGCAGTAAGGGACAGCAGGCCGGAGGGGGTCAGAAGGAGACTGCTTCTGAGGCCTCCCAGTCCCCGTTCAATACTCAACTTGCCAATGTGTACTTTGGGTATCATTTCTTTCTTTCTTTCTTTCTTTTTTTTTTTTTTTTGGAGAGGCTTTTTGCTATAGGGTGCGTGTGCTAACCTGAGAGAAAGTGAGAAATCACCCCCCCAGGGGGGATGGCCACGCCCCAATCCTTTCTCCTCCCTTCTCCTCAGGATCTTGGGCACGCACGCACATGCACCCAGTGTGAGTTTAAGCCACCGGGTCCAGGACTCGAACTGTGGTCGACTACATGGGAGTCCAGTGACATAGCCACTACGCCAACTGCTGGTCCCTTTGGGTATCATTTCTAAGCTCCACAGAAGTCCAGGTAAAGAACCACTCTCAGACGCTGTTAGTAAGATCCGGAACAGCTTTCGAAGATGACTTTATGATTACTATGAAAAATTAAACACCTCTGATGTGCTTCTACAAGAAGACCCACTCCCAGGCACGACCTCATGTTATGAGCTTCATCACAGAATAGACCACAAAATTGAAAAAAAAATAAATAAGTAAAAGTGGGCGGAATCCAGGTGCCCATTAGCAGAGGCTGAAGAAGTTCATTGTGGGACACCCAACGTATCTCTCTGGCCACTCCTGAGACCCAGTGGCTCTGAAGGTGTGTGCGGAAAGGTGCCCACTCTCTTTGCTTATATAAAAAAGCAAGTTGAGGAAGAACATGTGGGGCCAGCCCTGCACCCTCTGGTTAAAGGAGCTGCTTCCAAAACCCTGCTGCAGTTCAAATCCCAGCCCCTGCAGCTTGAAAACCACGCCGGGTGTATGTGCACGCCCAGAATCCCCAGCAGGATAGATGGGAGAGAAGGGACTGTGACGTGACAGTGCCCCATTGCGGGGTAATTTCTCCCTCACCTTCTTCCTTTCTCTGTCTCTTTCTTTCTTTTAAATAATTATTTATTTTATTTTATTTGTTATTATTATTTTTTTATTTGACCAGAGAGAGAAGGGAAAGTGAGAAAGCAAGCCTCCAGGTCTGGGACTCAAACCGTGGTCGACCATGTGGGAGTCCAGCACCTTAACCACCGCGCCACCTGCTGCCTCCCTTCCTTTCTCTTTCTGTCAAGTGCACACAGCCTCCAGCAATTAAAAAAGGAGGAGGGGGAGGCGCGTTGTGACCCGTCCGGAGTGAGAAGGAAAGAAGGAGGACGTGCAGGGGTGCCTGGCTAACCTGAGCATCAGTCTCCGGACTTCAAGGGCCCCTTCTCTAGCACACCGGGGACAGGAGAACGTGCATCTCACGGGGGACTTGAGTCGTGCCCAAGCACTCGTCCACACTCCATCCCCCCGCAGCCTCCAGGTCCGTCACTCGCTGTCAGGGAAGGACCACGGGGCACACTCGGCCCTCTGTACGGCACTCCCCTCCTCCATGCCCTGCCTGCAGGACTTTGGGGGTGACCAAAGGTGATGACAGTGAGGATGGATGGGAAAGCATTTCAAGCTCCCCCTAATTACAAACTATTTATCAAGTGGCTTTAATTTTATGTATTTATTTACTTTTATATAATCACCAGAAGCATGCACTCGTCAGAGAGAGGGAGAGGGAGATAGCACCCCTCCACCGCTCGGCATGTTTCTTAAGTGGCGGGAGCTAAGTTAGGACCATGGTCAGTGATGTGAGCCCTAGCACCCTCAACCTCTAGGCCACAGGGCAGGCCTCGAGTGGGTTTTAAGACATTCACTGAGGGGCCAGCAGGTGGTGTGATGGTTGAGGGTGTTGGACTCCCACACGGCTGACCTGGTTCGAGTCCTGGACCTGGCAGCTTGCTGTCTCTCTCTCTCTCTCTCATTCTGTCCCTCTCTGGTCAATAAATAAATAAAGTTAAAATAGAATCATTCTTAAAAGAAAATTGACTGAAACTGAAAGCAGTCCACTTACAGGTGACCTCAATCCTTGGCCGAACCCGCCTTTCTTACCCTGAGACCTCCCATCCCGCAGTACGTGAGCCGGGCCCCCAGGGGAACCCATTTCTGCTGTCTGAGGAGGAAGCGCAGGAAGCCCGTGTCAAAGGTCTTCCCATATTTATTCAGCTATGCTCGGATGGCTAATGTTACACACTGATGTGACGCGTGAAGTTGTCCCCAGGGGCGTCACGTAGAGTTTCCACATTTTCTGTGTAGGTGCGACCGTCACGAACAACTTCCTGCCTGGAGCCCCTGCGTATGTTGGTTTTCATGATCTAGGTTACTGGGTGGGAGAGGGCAATACAGACGGCTTGCGTCCCCTCCTAACTTAAAGATGCCACACGGCTTCTGAAAGCGCCCTCGGACTTCCAGCCACAGGCTGGGGGTGCTCGCCGGCTCTGGCTTCTCCCTCCGGGTTGGCTAGTTACCGTATCACAATGGCATCTCAACGCTGTTTTTCCTGTTTTTCTCTTTACTAGCAGGGGTGGAGTTCAGATTTTCAGGTGTGTTTTTTTTTTTTTTTTTTTTGAGAGATTTTCACTGTAGGGCGCGTGCGCTCGCCCGACAGACAGAGACATAGAGACAGAAAGCGAGAAATCACCCCCCAGGGGGGATGGTCACACCGCAATCCCTTCTCCTCCATTCTCCTCTGGGGATCTTGGGCACGCACGCACACGCGCCCAGCGTGAGTTTTAAGCCACCGGGTCCGGGACACGAACCGCGGTCGACTATGTGGGAGTCCAGCGACATAGCCATTACGCTAACTGCTGGTTCCCAGAAGGTGTGTTTTAAAGCCGCCCCCGTTGCCATCCCACGCGCGGTTTCCTCTCCACCCCAGTCTGTAAGAGGCTGAGTGGGGATAAGATGACGAGGACCAGACTTCCTTAGGCCGCTGCGCACTTCACAGTCTGCAGACGTACAGCCGTCATCCTGCCGTGCTCGGCCCCAGAGGCCGGCGAGGAGTCCCGGGGAGGCCGGGGAGGCCGGCGAGGAGTCCCGGGAAGGCGGGCCAGGAGTCCCGGGGAGGCCGGCGAGGAGTCCCTTTTTTTTGAGGAGTCCCGGGGAGGCCGGCGATGAGTCCCGGGGAGGCCCGCGATGAGTCCCGGGGAGGCCGGTGAGGAGTCCCAGGGAGGCCACCTTCCAGATTTGCAGGCGGACTTCTGCCGGGTGTGAGCGGGAGCCCACCAGGGCCGATGTAAACAGCCTGGAGTGTTGTTCAAAGTTGCCGAGAAACAGCTCCTGTTCTTTCTCTCTGGGGCCCAGGTCCCCTCTGCTTCTCCCTGTGGCCCTAAGGTCCCGTGTCGGCATGTGCTGTCCTCTCTGGAGAGGTCTTTTCAGCCACGTGGTCAGCACCGCAGGACTGAGAACTGCAGCCAGCCTCTGCCCATCCTCCCAGCCCCCGCCCTGACATCCATTAGTCCCTGCCCCTAACTGGCCATCCCTCAGGAGAGATCCAGGGTCCCCCCATACTTCCTTCTGCCCATGTGTCCATGTTGGGTCAGGGACAGATGGGGGGCCAGGTCACATGGTGCAGAGAGCGGGCGCTGAGGCCAGGGCGTGGAGCGGAGTGCGGGGTGCAGACGGGCTTCCAGCGCACTTGCCGAAGCTGCTGGGTGGGCCTCTGGGCCCGGAGGGCAGCAGGCACACCTGCCAGTCATACTGGTTCTCAGAAAACCCTCCTAGAAGCCAAGAGGAGACCGTCTCTCTCTCTCTAAACCCCTGGCCCCCGCAGGCCGCAGCCAGGGTGCCCACCATCTGGAGCTGAGAGGTGCCTCACTAGGCAGACCTCAGAAAGCTGGCGTCTGAGGGAGGAGGCAGCTCTCATGGAGGGCACCCCTGGCCTTGTCATCCCAGCCCAGCCCTCGCCCCGGCCCGCAGGTGCGGATCTGGGAGATCCCCGAGGGCGGGCTGAAGCGGAACATGACGGAGGCGCTCCTGGAGCTGCACGGGCACAGCCGGCGTGTGGGGCTGGTGGAGTGGCACCCCACCACCAACAACATCCTGTTCAGCGCCGGCTACGACTACAAGGTGCGTGTGGCAGGCGGCGGTGAGTGGGGGGGGGTTTTGGGGGCCGAGTAATCCCGGTTATTTCCTGAGTAGCAAAGCAATATTGTCTCACCCATTCATTCATTCACTCATTTATTCATTCCTACGTGACTGAGCTTCTCCCATGCACCCCACAGGGGCCAAGGCACCTTTCCCGCCTGCTCTGGTGGCCAGCGGGCTGGAGGAGAATGCCTGCTCCACCCCACGTGACTGTCTGGCCACTTCCCCGAGAAGTGGCCACTGCTGTCCTGGGAAGGAGCAGGAATCCCCAGCCCCTACTCCCAGGCACGCCCTCAAAGAGGTGTGCTGGTGGGACCAGCAGTTAGCGTCATGGCTTTGTCGCTGGACTCCCACGTAGTCGACTGCGGTTCGAGTCCCGGACCCGGCAGCTTAAACTCACGCCAGGCGCGTGTGTGTGCGTGCCCAAGATCTCGAGATGAGAATGGAGGAGAAGGGATTGCGGCGTGGCCATCCCCCCTGGGGGGTGATTTTTCGCTTTCTATCTCTCCATCTCTCTCTGTCTTTCTGGCAAGCGCACACTCCCTGTAGCAAAAACCTCTCCAAAAAAAAAAAAAGAGAGGTGTGCTGGCCACCCGGCTGGGCGCAGACCGGGAACACTGCTCACAACCCCAAGGCCTGACCACGTCTGTGGCTCTGCCCTCGCAGGTGCTCATCTGGAACCTGGACGTGGGCGAGCCGGTGAAGATGATCGACTGCCACACGGACGTGATCCTCTGCATGTCCTTCAACACCGACGGCAGCCTGCTCACCACCACGTGCAAGGACAAGAAGCTGCGTGTGATCGAGCCCCGCTCCGGCCGCGTTCTGCAGGTGGAGCCTGACGTTTTTCTGAGGTGGAAAGGGAAGGTTCTGGGGCCTGGGGCTCAGCCTGCAGCCACCTGGGGGGGGGGTAGCTGTGCCAGCCCCCTCTCTGCATCTCATGTGCCTCTGCTGACCAGCCGTCTGTCCTGGGCCCTCCGTTTGCAGGAACCCAGCCTTGTTCTGGGGGCGGGGAAACCTCAGTGCCCTCTTCTGCCCCCACATCCCCTCCTCCAGACAGGATTCCTCTGTGATACCCTTCAGTACGTGCGTCCCCTGTGTTAACCAGGTCCCATCGTTGGCCTGGACTGGGGGACTTTGGGCTCCCTGTGCAGCCGCCTGCAGGGAAAAGGCTCAGGGTCCGTCCTCATGGGTGGCCCCAGGTGGGGAGGCACACAGCAAATGCAGCTCCATTTTGGGTCTTTGATTTCCTGGGTCTTGGGAGTGAGGCAAAGCTTAGGTGCCTTGGGAAGTAAGCAGTTAACATTTCTCGAGCACCTACTGTGTGCTAGCTGGGGCCAGGTGGGATGGGCAGTGGGGATGAAACCCGGGGTTTTCCCCATCGTCCCCCCCTTATCCTCAGGACGTCTCTCTAGGGGGTGCTATTACGCTTTCTATTTTACACGCCCATCTCACAGTCCCAGGGGAGCTAGAACTCAAACCCAGAGCCCACGCTGAACAGTAAGGAGGTAGGCGGGAGAGAACCCGGCCTCCAGCTCACAGAGGTGGCCATGACCCCGGCCGCACATGCTCAGCAGAGCTGGAACTAAAATCTCAAGCGAGTGGCGCCAGCCGGAGTCCGTGCCCTGCTGCACTGGCATCTTTGCTAACCTGAGGCCGACGTACCTGGCCAAGGGCTGCTGCCCTGGAGGGAATCACGTGGCAGGAGCCAGAGGGCAGGAGAGGAGGCCAGGACTGCGCAGGTAGGAGAGTCCCCAGGGGCCCACCCAGGCGGCCGCACACAGTGAGACAGGATGCACTGCAAGGCTGGCCCACGTGGGAGAGTCCTAGTTCTAGGCCAGGGACCTCCCTGAGTGAGCTGCGAGGTCACACGTGTGCTGTGGTCTGGGGCTGGCTGAGACCCCAGTGGCCACGACTGTTGGGAGCTCTCTTTCTCATGCCTGGAAGAAATAAATAAATTTGCTTTTAAAATTAAAAAAATAAATAAAAAAGAAGGTGGGGCCGGCAGATGGTGGGTGGTTAAGAGTGCTGAACTCTCACATGGCCGATCGCAGTTTGAGTCCCAGGCCTAGTGGCTTGTTTTCTCACTTTCCCTCTTACTCTGTCCTTCTCTGGTCAAATTAAAATAAATAAATAAATGAACAAAGTTAAATAAAATAATTCTAAATGAAGAAGAGGAAGGAGGAGGAAGAAAGGACATGAAGAGAAGGAAAGAAAGAGCCTCCAGGTCCCAAGCTCAGATCAGTGGAGGCACCACAGTGGGACCCTGTGGGAAAGCCAGGCTTGGTTCAGGACTGCACGCCCAGAGGCTGAGACGGGAAGATCATGGCCCTGAGACCTTGTCTTTAAACAAAGGAAATG